GTGGTTGTCAAATTAGAGAACAATGACTTGCACTGAGATATAGTAAAACAGTGATGGTTTGTTGAGAAGAGAAGCTTGGAGCGCACCTGGAAACACCAAGGGATCAAACTCGTCATCATCATCTCTTGGCCGATAGGGAAAAATTTTCCACCGTTTCTATTGAGGTATAATTATTCGCCTAAAGTCAATCAGGCGACTGTATTCATAACCTCTACCTTCCGACATCCGCACGAGCTACGCGCGGGTAACACAGATGAAAGGTTACCAGAATTAATAAAATAATCACCAAAGGGAAAATAGTTCCAATTGTTTATTAAATTCTCCCAACTAATTCTTTGAAAAACTGTGCGGGGATCAGTCGTGAGAATTTGTAAAAACATATTATGGATTAAAGAGATAAAGAACAGTTGCGAAAAAAGCTTGGCAAAAATTCAGCATCTTTAATTAATATTAAAAACTATCGTTAACACAAAATTGCATTGATGCTTATTTATGACTGGTTCAATAAACATACGAGTACCTTGTTTAGTGTGCAAAACAAGACACTATACAGCATTATTAATTTCAATCTCTTTTTTCAGGCTTTTTTTTAGCAACTGCACAACGCGCAAACAACAGAAAATAAAGAGTATGTGATTAAAAACGTACTGGCAAACACTGGACAAAAATCATAATGAACGACTTTACATTTGCTTCAGCCATTACTGAAATGAAATCACAACTGTCATGAATTCCATATAAGCCTTGCTTAGTTGCTATAGCCTTGACAGGTGAATGGGATAAATGTTTACCAGGATTGAATTAAGTGTATAAAAGACAGAAAGCACACTTATGAACAGAAATTTAATATAAATCGTGTCAATTGGTGCTTCCAAGTACTAAAAGTCGTAGTAATAAAACTTTTCGAACCGTTTGTAGTTCGGATAGTGTTTTTTTGTCGGGCGGGACGAAAATAAATTGCGATCGTTCCTTCAAATTCGTGGCATAAACTAGACGCAAAGTTGAACGAGTCGAAGCAACAAAAAACGGACATATATTTTCAGTCGATTTAGGCCTGGATATAGCTTTATTCTATTGAACAAGAGGAAGCAATGGAGGAAAGATGAAACCAAAGGAACTGAAACTGTTAATTCCAGGGTTCGTACCCTTTTTTGAACAAAACATTCAAGACTTTTGAAGGACTTTCAAGAACACATTTTCTAGGACTACATTTAGTGCAAAAAAAGAGCGTTGAGTCTACGTCTTTTTTTAGTTCTTCCACACCAGGAGAATTTTATCCCGGAGGTCTTTCTGTTTGTTCCTTTTCCTTTCGGCAGTTCTCATTAATCTATTACTGTAAGTTAGCATGGCAATTTTCAAGGCCTTGAAAGGCCTTGAATTTTTATTTTAAAATTCAAGGACTTATAAAGGATTTTTAAGGTGCGTAAGAACCCGGAGTTTTGACCAAAATATCGGTCGTTTTCTTTTCTCAAATTATACTCTGATTTTATTGTTAAGCCATTAAACAGCTCATCAAAGGTCGTAGCGATCTTTGTGAGAGAGACTTCACTTTACTTTAAGGCTGGTTATCATTTGATTGTTGCCATCGCTATGATCGTTCAGATCGCTACTGGGATAATGGTTAAATAAAGGTTTAAAGTAGTTTTTCAACCATTCTAGCTATGGCACTGTTCTGTGGAAGCTATAACCATTGGCTCAAAAACGTTGCACTGGAAACTGGCCGGCTTAAAATTCGTCGCCCAAAACAGTCCCAGTCTCACATGTACCCTCAGAACCGAAAAAAAGAAAAAAAAAAAAAGATCGCGTGACTGAAGCAATTGTTAAGACAACACTCCATGAAATGGATGTCGGCACTACGCTGAGGCCAGCTTCAAGTAATGGCCACTATCGCTTTGATTGTTTAGAAAGCTAGACATTTTTTATCGACCATAGTAGCCTTGTTCCCTCGGCAATCACAGATGTGACGTCACCCCTCACGCTTGTCCTGGGAACGAATCGAGAACGAGCCGAGGATAGGACGTCTATCAGGCTTGGTTCCAAGCCCCCTCTGCTCACTCGGATAGCGCGAACTGGCCTGGGGACGAGGCTGCGACCGTGGTAATCGTGTGAAAAAAAATGGCTACCGCTACCACGTGACACTATTAAATCTTTGCACTTATCAGTTTACTTTTCTGTATCTCCATGTTTTAAATTTTTTTTTATATACTTTTGCTGTTGTTATAATGACTCGCAAAAAAATATAAGCGCCAAAAATTCCGGCGCAAAACTTTAGTCTACAGACAAATTACTGTATTGATTGTCGGGAAAAAAGTCTGGGAGACAAAGTGGAATAAATGTAAAGTAGAATGACACTCCCGTAATTACTATTCACGGTATCTTTTACATTTGAGAGTCATTTCCCTTGTACTTTGTCTACAAACGTACCCAAATTAACTTAGAAATTGTTCAGTATTGCCACAACATGCTGCGGCAAACAACCAAAACTTCAACGATAATTTCCCGTTGAAAAAAACAGTATCAACTAATGTTCAAAAATTAGTTCCCAAAAACACAAACACCAACCATTCACAAATTAACTCACGTCCAAATTAACTAAAAAAGGGGAACCGTAAGTGTAGGTCCATAAGAAGGGCTCATCCTAGTTCCCTGGCATTCTTGTTTCGGTCAAGCCTGGACACCAATCTCGTCAAGCAAAAAGACACTGGGGAAGAGGTTGACCTGGACCCTTCTGTGAGCCGTGATGTCACCAAGAGAGACTTAAGCCCTATTCACACAGCAATTGAAAACATGTTTCTTTAAACCAGGTGAAACAAGGTGGAAATGAGTCGCGGAAACCGAACATAGAAGTGCTTTCTCCAGTTGACAAGATTAAAATGTGTAGTTCGAAAAAATATCCACCCCCTCCTCCCCCGCCCCCATGGAGGGCAGTCTTGCTTCAGGCCCCCCACCCCCCTGGAATTTTTCATTCCAGGGTGTGCTTGTCATACCTTCCACCCCCTGGGATTTCCGTAATTTTTCAACTTGGTTACACCCCCTGGAAAGTTGTTACACTATATTGTTGTGCGAAAGACAATTAATTTTTTTCTGCCATAAAATGAACAAAATATTTTCATTCATGTTAATACGGTTTCTAATAATCGCAAGGACGTTCTTAGCTAGCTTTACATACTGATCGCTTGGTATCTTATCGTTTCTTAGTGTTGCGTTTGTTATCGAATATATCCCCGTATGACTTGCAAAGACGAACCTCACAACTACGATTACTTTAGCCTGGGAAAAGGATTCGTTGGTATTTGTTAATGTTTATAGCGGAGCACCATGGGTAAGAAAATGTGGTAATCTACCCATCCGAGAAAATTTGGTAATCACGTGACCGTACGCCCGACCGTCCGTCCGCACCACAGGCATACCAATGTAAAATAACTCAATCAACAGGTATGTCAACCCAAATGCAACTCGAGGTTATTTGGGCGGGAAATCGCATAGCCAGCCGCTTCTTGAAAAGCAGAGGCAACTAAAGAGTCAATAAAGACGGAACCACAAAGCGGAAAATGTTTCTGTATCCCTGTTTTTTTAAGTATTAAGCTTAGACTAATTGTCATGTCCACAAATTTGGAATATAGAGCAAGAGAAAGACAGAGTCGTAGTCGTGCAAAACAACGGCAAAGAAATGTACAAAAAAAGTGTGCTGCACGTGCGAAGTTGCTTTTTTGTTATTTAGACCCACTGTTCTTTTTTCACCGTTCTCCGGCGTTGCCTTCGCCGCTTAGCATTACACGATTTTATATTTTGTTTGAACAAACTATAAATATTATCGAGAGCTTCGCTTTTAGCCCGCCTAAATCTATATATTACAGGAAAAGAATGGAATAAAGCGATTCATAATGGCCCGACTTTGCCTCTCGTCCTGACATAGTACTGTCACGCGAGTCAAAACTCAAAGATGGCGGCTGAAGTCTTTCCGCGAATCACCTCATAAATTAAAAATTCGAGATGACGCCCAGACTTATTAAAAGCGTATATAGTTTGCTCGTTTCTGTTGTACCACGACAACCCTCTAAGGTTATGTGGACATCTGAGCAAAATGTATGATCCAATATCATCAATTAAACTCGACAGAGCGTAAAACAAAAACGGTCATAGTTTTTTTTTTTTTTTCCTGCATAAAAACACACTCTGTGTCGTTACCACAAATTGAATTGCAAGGATACAATCGCATAAATCAAGATCCATTAATCCCCCTGTTGCTTTGTTTTTGCTAACTGACAATTGTAAGTTGCGTCGTGAGCGTTGATATTCTGGCGACGTGTTTTAAGGTAACTGAACACAGTTTTGGCAGTTTGTGAGTATATCTCATTTCCCAAATCATGGCAAGAGAAAGGTTGCAGCTCACTAGCTGAAACTCGGCAAGTGAAAAACATACTGATGAAAGATTTTGATTGACAGGTAAAATGTAACGTTTTCATAGTTTCCATGGCAACATGAACAATTGAATACAACCTTAATTTTTCACTTTTGCTCAGTTTACATAAAATTCGCTCATTAGATTTTCCTATAAACTTGCACACAGCTTACTATAATTAATCATTACCATTTGAAACTTATTTGACCAAATTTTAACAGGCAGGTTTTTAGATAATCAATGATATAATTGTACTGTAATTATTAAATGCGTCACCAAATTCGTCTGTTCAACTTCCATTTTAAAGTTCTCATTATTTAAAATACGATAAAAGTAACAATTCTGCCAAATATCAAAAAATTTTGATGAGTACATTTTGAGAAATCGTCGTCTGTGTACCATTGCCTTTTTTCGCCGCAAGGTTTGTTTGTCTAATTTAAAACACGTGCCGTCACGTGAGTTACCGCTGACCGCCCGCAAAACTGTGTTCAGCCACCTTAAACTGTTTACAGCACACCGCGCGAGCTAATCTAAATACAAGTACATGAGTGCAAGTGCGATTAAATTACTCGGAAGGTATCCTTTGGATCAAAACAAAATGAAATCTTCCAGCAGTTCAGTAACAAAATCACACCTTTTCTTCGCCTTAAGGATAGGAACCATACTGGCAGTGTCGATTACTATCTACGTTTCTTACATTTTCACCACTCACTCAAAAGGTTTTTTCCATATAACTCGCATTAGCATGGGACAACAAAACATGACTGAAGATACCAGCGAAAACGAAACATCCACTTTTATAACGACAATACCAGAAGAACTTCCTCATCGTACATATTTGATATCTCGCACACGCTGCAAAGGAAAAGTGTTTCTTTTGATTTTGGTGTTTTCAGCGCCCGCTAACTTTGACAAAAGAACAATTATTCGGAAAACCTGGGCAACTGATCCATCACTCAAAATACGATGGAGGAGCGTCTTTCCTCTCGGTCAAGCTGCGGGCGACAATATTCTAAATAAAAAACTTGAAGCCGAGGGAATGATGTACGGGGATCTTATTCGAGGATCTTATAACGAGCATTATCAGAATCTCACTTTCAAGACACAAATGGGGTTAGAATGGGCTGCAAAATACTGCGCCGATTTTCAATTTCTCCTCAAGGCAGATGACGACGTCTTTATCAATCCTTATGCTCTGATAGATCACCTAAGAATACCCGATACACCGAAAACGAATCTCTACACTGGAAGTTGTCGTTTTGGCTCTGGGGTATTTCGCGCTGGAAAGAATGGAGTCACTTGGGAAGAGTACAACAAGACCAGATATCCTCCATTCTGCAGTGGACCGGCGTATGTGTTATCTTCAGATGTGGTTTATAAGTTGGTGGAAATGTTCGATGTAAAAAAGCCTTTTAAAAACGAAGATGTCTATATAGGAATGTTGGTGGAGAAAATAGGGGGAGTACGAGTCATGGTTCATCGAGGGTTTCGTTACGGGCAATGCAAGCACATTCCAGGTACCTTTTCCCTTCATAGAGCACCAACAATAGAGTGCGTCGAGGAACTGTTTCAAGAAGCAATGTCAGAAAGAAAGGAATACGAACTAGCACAACTACGGAGTGCAAGAATACTATCCTATAATGTTACTAACACTAGCCAAGTGCATGAACATAATCAAATTTCTTAAGTAGAGTTTCTTTCCATTTGCATCACGAAGGCTTGGTTGTTTGGGGTGGGTATAAATGAAGGATAGACAACCTTCATTTATAACCTCTTTGGGTGGTTGTCAAATTAGAGAACAATGACTTGCACTGAGCTATAGTAAAACAGTGACGGTTTGTTGAGAAGAGAAGCTTGGAGCGCACCAGGAAACACCAAGGGATCAAACTCGTCATCATAATCTCTTGGCCGATAGGGCAAAATATTCCACCGTTTCTATTGAGGTATAATTATTCGTCTAACGTTAAGGGAAAGAAAAAATAACCAGTTCAGTAGTGTGTGTAAATCAGGCGACTGTATTCATAAGCTCTACCTCCCGACATCCGCACGAGCTGCGCGCGGGTAACACAGATGGAAGGTTACCAGAATTAATAAAATGATCACCAAAGGGAAAATAGTTCCAATTTTTTATTAAATTCTCCCAACTAATTCTTTGAAAAACTGTGCGGGGATCAGTCGTGAGAATTTGTAAAAGCATACCATAGATTAAAGAGATAAAGAACAGTTGCGAAAAAAGCTTGGCAAAAATTCAGCAGCTTTAATTAAAATTAAAAACTATCGTTAACACAAAATTGAATTGATGCTTATTAATGACGGGTTCAATAAACATACGTCGAGTACCTTGTTTAGTGCAAAACAAGACACTATACAGCATTATTAATTTCAATCTCTTTTTTCAGGCTTTTTTTTAGCAACTGCACAACGCGCAAACAACAGAAAATAAAGAGTGCGTGATTAAAAACGTACTGGTAAACACTGAACAAAAATCATAATGAACGACTTTACATTTGCTTCTGCCATTACTGAAATGAAATCATAACTGTCATGAATTCCATATAAGCCTTGCTTAGTTGCTATAGCCTTGACAGGTGAATGGGATAAATGTTTACCAGGATTGAATTAAGTGTATAAAAGACAGAAAGCACACTTATGAACAGAAATTTAATATAAATCGTGTCAATTGGTGCTTCCAAGTACTAAAAGTCGTAGTAATAAAACTTTTCGAACCGTTTGTAGTTCGGATAGTGTTTTTTTCGGGCGGGACGAAAATAAATTGCGATCGTTCCTTCAAATTCGTGGCATAAACTAGACGCAAAGTTGAACGAGTCCAAGCAACAAAAACGGATATATTTTCAGTCGATTTAGGCCTGGATATAGCTTTATTCTATTAAAAAAGAGGAAGCAATGGAGGAAAGATGAAACCAAAGAAACTGAAACTGTTAATTCCAGGGTTCGCACCCTTTTTTGAACAAAACATTCAAGGACTTTTAAAGGACTTTCAAGGACACATTTCGCATTTTTCAACGACTACATTCAGTTCAAAAAAGGGGCCTTGAATCTACGTCTTTTTTTAGTTCTTCCATTATGATATCAGGAGAATTTTATCCCGAAGGTCTTTCTGTTTGCTCCTTTTCCTTTCGGAAGTTCTCAGTAATCTATTACTGTAAGTTAGCATGGCAATTTTCAAGGCCTTGAAAGGCCTTGAATTTTTATTTTAAAATTCAAGGACTTATCAAGGATTTTTAAAGTGCGTAAGAACCCTGAGTTTTGACCAAAATATCGGTCGTTTTCTTTTCTCAAATTATATACCCTGATTTTATTGTTAAGCCATTAAACAGCTCATCAGAGGTCGTAGCGATCTTTGTGAGAGAGACTTCACTTTACTTTAAGGCTGGTTATCATTTGATTGTTGCCATCGCTATGATCGTTCAGATCGCTACTGGAATAATGGTTAAATAAAGGTTTAAAGTAGTTTTTCAACCATTCTAGCTATGGCACTGTTCTGTGGAAGCTATAACCATTGGCTCAAAAACGTTGCGTTGGAAACTGGCCGGCTTAAAATCCGTCGCCCAAAACAGTCCCATGGTGAAATTCGACACAACATCAACCCAGTCTCACATGATCACGTGACCGAAGCAATTGTTAAGACAACACTCCATGAGATGGATGTCGGCGCTAAGCTGAGGCCAGCTTCAAGTAATGGCCACTATCGCTTTGATTGTTTAGATAGCTAGACATTTTTTATCGACCATAGTAGCCTTGTTCCCTCGGCAATCACAGATGTGACGTCACCCCTCAGGCTTGTCCTGAGAACGAATCGAGAACGAGCCGAGGATAGGACGCCTATCAGGCTTGGTTCCAAGCCCGCTCTGCTTACTCGGATAGCGCGAACTGGCCTGGGGACGAGGCTGCGACCGTGGTAATTGTGTCAGAAAAATGGCTACCGTTGCCATGTGATACTATTAATCTTTGCACTTATCATTTTACTTTTTTGTATCTCGATGTTTCTTAATTTTTTTTATGCTGTTGCTGTTGTTATAATGACTCGCAAAAAAATATAAGCGCCAAAAATTCCGGCGCAAAACTTTAGTCTACAGACAAATTACTGTCCTGATTGTGGGGAAAAAAGTTTGGGAGACAAAGTGGAATAAATGTAAAGTAGAATGACACTCCCGTAATTACTATTCACGGTATCTTTTACATTTGAGATTTTACCTTGTACTTTGTCTACAAACGTACCCAAATTAACTTAAAATTGTTCAGTATCAATTGCCGCAACATTCTGCGGAAAACAACCAAAACTTCAACGATAATTCCCGGTTGAAAAAAACAGTATCAAGTAATGTTCAAAAATTAGTTCCCACAAACACAAACACCAGCCATTCACACTCCAGGGGGTGCTTGTCATAGGAAATAAGAAAAAAAATCTCTGACAACGGGGCAAGAGAGAACACCTGGGGACTACGCTGGCTTCTGCAACCTCGTCCCTCCCCTGGAGACAAGGTTGTGCCTTCTGCTGATGTCGTTAAGAGCTGGGTTACTCACCGCTTTATCTAAGCACACAGGTGATGGAACATGCTCAAGATCAAGGAAAGGGTGGGCAAAGAAGTCATCAAAAGATATTCTGGCCAAAGGATCCCGTTGTAGTAGAGCTAAAAGAAGATCCTGGCAGTCTGGGCTCAACTGAGATCCAGGAGGCAGCTATAGATACAAGAACAAAACAAGATAATTAAAGCTACACGCAAACGGACGCAACAACCCCCGACATTATTGGGAGAGCAATGTTGTGAGTTATTGCGGCCGTGTTAGCAGTGGTGTGCAAACGGATGCAACAACGCCCAACAACGTTCGGACCTGCAGTGAATCGTGGAAAGTATACAACCCATAAGACTTTGGAGACCAAATATAATGCGTGTGCGTGGCCCCAAAAATGCGGGAAGAGCTGTGCAAACGAATCCAACATTGTTGCGCTACGCTTCGGCGATCACGGAACAAATGAAATGTTGGGAGTCGTTGGCTCACAAGTTTGACTGCGCACCAACTCCCAACAACATGTAACAGGGTGTGCAAACGGACGCAACATGCAACAGCCAACAATGTTGCGTCCGTTTGCACAGGGCTTAAGTACGAGAGGTGACTCAAACTTTCCGCCACATTGCTACGAAAAATAAAATCATGATGATAGGGATAACCAAGGCAATAAGAAATATAAAAGGATTACCTTTCTGGAGAATAAATAAATCAATTAATAAATAAAAATTTCAATGAAAGAATTATTTTAAAATTAATATGTGCATGGCTTTTAAATCTAAACATGACCAAATTTTGACGAAGATGCGCTAAAACTGGGTGAGAAAACTTTACAAATAATAATAATAATAATAATAATAATAATAATAATAATAATAATAATAATAATAATAATAATAATATTTATAGAGGGAGCCCAACTCGCCAAGGCGGTTTTCAGTGGGGCCCTCATGCATTAATCTAACTAATTAATTAATTATTACGAAAAAAGTAAAATATGTTTACAAGTAAAACAAATTTAAAAATTTAAAATCTTAAAATCGATCATACAAAAAATATCAAGGTTTAAAATTAGCTGAGATCTTTTTAAAAAGTTTTCAACTTGGATTTAAAAATAGATAAAATATTACGCTCTTTTAAATCATTTGGAAGGCTGTTCCAGTCTTTCGCGGCGTGAATTATAAAGTTTGTTTACCCCAGTTTGTTCTGGGTAGGGGTAAGCGAATATCATTAGAGCGTCTTGTATTATATGAATGAACAGCTTGAGTTTTAGTAAAATTAAAGTTGAAATCGGTTTCTCCAATAAGACACTTGGGGATTGCAATGCAGCGATGAAAAAACCTTCTTGTGGACAGTAACGTCAGATCTAGACTCTTCAGTGCTTCGGTTGACGAGCTTCGGGGTGGTTGCCCAAGCATAACTTTAGCAGCTTTATTCTGTAGAATCTGTAATTCTGACATGATGGTGTCATTGTTCTTGTCCCCCCATATAACGTCTCCGTAATCAAAAAGAGGAAGGATTAGGGCATTGTACAAGGCAACTCTAGCTTGTAGCGGCAACAGATTTCTGATTCTCCTAATTAGGCCTATTCTCTGATTAATCTTCATGCTGATAGCATCGACATGATCTGCCCAGGACATAAACTGTTGAAGTGTTACGCCTAGGTATTTAAATGATTGTGTTCTTTCAATACTAGTGCCCTCTACTTTAACCGAAATGCCTTGAATACGATTCAGTTTCTGAGAACGTCGAAAGATAACAATATTACATTTGGATATATTTAGTGTCAGGAGATTTCTAGTAGAGAACCACTCAGACACTGTCCCCAAGTCAGCATTGATGTGAAGTTCAAGATCACTGACGCTTTTGGATGAGTAATAGAGTACAGTATCGTCCGCATAAAGAATAATATCGCTTGCCAGATGACAGTCCGGAAGATCATTCACGTAAATTAAAAACAATAAAGCTCCCAATATACTGCCTTGGGGTACTCCAATATGCATTTCGGTAGATGCAGAGTGAGTATCTCCAACTGATGTAAATTGTGATCTGTTTGTGAGGTACGATCTAAACCACTGGGTGGTAGAGGTGGTAAGACCGATGTTCGTCAATTTTTGCAGCAGCAGGGGATGATCCACTGTATCGAAGGCCTTAGAC